TGTCTATTGATTATAGTGCTTTAAGATAATGTGTTATTGTAAAATTTATTTATTAAAATTTATTTCTGTAAATGATAATAATTATAACAATTATTATTATTATTATTATTATCAAAAATGTGTTTCATAAGTTACCAAAAGAATATCTATTTATTTGCATTCTCTACTTAAATATCATGCATGTCTTCTCAACGTTCTTCTATTTAATTTTTCATGATTAATCAATCAATAAAAAGCAATTCTCTATGGAGTTGTTTAAAAAATAAGCTCATTGCTTAAAAGAATTAATTGGAGAGCACAACCTAGGATGGAAAAAAGTTATACAATATTACTAATTTTTCTAAAGAGAAAAATACCACAAATATTACCAAATCATGTAACATTATACGTTAATGAACTTACATATGAATTACTTTTTATACAATTACACCATTCTAAACTAATCCATTACACTTATTGATTTACTATATTTGCAAGACATATCTTTCATAATAAATACTAACAATACAAATCCCCAACTTTCCTCCAATTATTTATATAATCTTCACACTTACCTTTACAAAAACATTTAACAAACTCAAAAAAATTAATTCATAATTTAAACAATTAAATGGAAAGCACAATCAACAAATAAAAAAAGTGGTATAAATAACACAAACAAAATTTAAAACATCAAGACACACCATTTATCTTCCTAGCCACTATCTGCTCATAGTGATTAATTAACTAGGTGAAGTCATCTCATCTTTTTGGCCAATAATCTCAATCTTTTTTATAATTTTATAAAATAGTATTTAATGTCTTATATATAGCTTTCAGAATTTTTTTACTTATATTTGAAATTAAATTATTTATTGAATGGAAAAGGTTTTCCTTTTTTACGGCATTTGGTAAATGGATTAAATTTTATTTACATATAAATCATATTTTTTATTACTTGAATTATATTGTAAGAACTTGACAAGAAATTCAAGTAATGCACGATTTATATCAAAAAGTTAGTGTGAAATCACTAAAGTCACTTTTAATTTTCTTTAATGTACTCCCTCCGTCCATTATCGTTTGTCATGGTTTCTATTTTTAAAATCATATTATAAGAACTTTGACTAATATTTTAAAAGGTATTTTTTCATCATATTGATATGCAAAAAAATGCAATTTATAGTACTTTTCATATAGTTTTTGAATATCTAAACTTTTTGTTTAAAATATCGAATTAATGTAATCTAATTTGACTTTAAAAATTAGTCAAATTGATTTTCGAAACTTAACATGAGAAATAAAAGTGGACAGAGGAAGTAAAACTTAATGATCTTTATTTTCATTACTCTTATGAATTTCTATGATATAACCTCTAAATAATCAATAGTCATATTCATGATAATATTTGATATCATGTATTGTAGTCCTATAAATAGAGACATTGTAAAATTTAATCGAAATGAGCACATTAACATTTCAAGCTGTCATGTTTTCAGTTTTATAATATTTGATGCTTTGATTTGACTTGAAAGAATAAAATGAAAGCTATCAAATGATAATTGCAGCTTGTGAAAGTGAATATTATTGACAAGATCTTCGAAAATTGTGTACTAGTAAATGTAACTGTGTTTTGCACGGTTATCATGCAAAATAATGTTGATGCATTTATTTAATTAAATTGCATTGATAAAATAAAATTACATTGTTATTTATACATATTCATATGTACTTTTGATATCACTTCAATAATAACTTTGGGTAAATACATCACTAAATGTGCCTATAGTCACCTCTACCTTTTATGATCATAGTTAAAGATTTTGAAAAAAAAAAATCAATTACACGTTGTACAATATCAATGTAGTATCATTTATACTTCTAAAAAAATATATTAAAGGTGTTTATAATAGAGATATTTAAAACTCTATTTAAGGTGTTTGGAAGTAGGGGTGCTTATGATTTGATTTGTATTGGTTATTGAATAAAATCAAAATCAAACTAATTTAATGAATTTTTGAATTTTTAAAACAAACAAAACGAAAGGAAAAAAAATATAACCATCAATTTTGTTCTCTTTTTTTTTTGGGTGGGTGGGTGGGGGTGGAGGGTCCTTTTTTTTTTTAACGTAATAAATTTTTTCAGGACATACATATTTTGATGGACACACACCTAGTACATGAACACTCTACAAGAAAATTATTGTGAATTTAACTAAACAATGATAGAGTTATTATTACACGAACAAAGTGATTCAATTAAGAGAAAGTATTATTACAAATTCAAGTTCAAGTACATCAAAATATATTATAAAAATTACTAAAAACTGTTTACAAATATTAATTATTACAAAATAATATGCAACTAATCAAAAATCAGCCTAAAGTTTATTAAGAAAGTATTTTCAACAAACTCATTTAGCTGTACAAGATTATATTAAAGAGGAAACACTCTAGTAATTTATTTTTTACTATTATTGGACGTGATTAGTATGGACGAAATATGGAAAAGAAATGAGGTATGTGTATGGTATTATGGTAAAATTTTTCGTACAAAAAATTTCATTTTTTTTTGTTTGGTTAGTTTAAAAAAAATTTAAATTTTTTAATGTTTGGTTTGTTTAAATTTTTTTGAAAAATATTTGTAATTATTTTTCTTAAGTTTAAACTTTTTGAAAAATAAATTTGGATATAGATTTTGTACTCCTAACAATTTGGAGTGAGTTTACGGAGAGAAAATAGGAGTGGAAAAAGGAGTGGTGAACATGAATTTGGCTGGTGACTTATGTATCGGATAGTTTTTGAATTATGAGAGAGAAATAATTTAAGTAATATTTTAAAAATGGAGGAAAAAATAGAGAATAAAAAAATTAAACTTGTATATATAAATAACTTATCCAAAAAATTAAACTAACAAAACATTAAAAATTTAAAAAAAATTATGAATTTTCTTTTACCATAATATCAGACACAAACCTCATTCCTTTTTCATATTTTTCCATGCTAATCACGTCCAATAATAGTAAAAATGAATTAAAAGGAGTATTTCCTCTTTAATATAATCTTGTACAACTCAATGAGTTTGTTGAAAATATTTCCTTAATAAACTATACGCTGGTTTTTATTTGTTGCATATTATTTTGTAATAATCAACATAATATTTGTAAATTTCTCATAATTTGATTTGGTTGTGGACTCTAACAACTAATCATTCATTGAAACTGATTAGGATTGTTGTGTTATTATTAATGCTTCTATTGTCTAATCAAAATATTAGTTTCAATTTCACAAAATTTTCATATAGTCTAATATTTTCATCTTTTTTTTGTTGTGGATGTTTTTCTTAGTTAAATTTTTTTAATGGATTGTAGTTGTTCATATATCTAATTGATAACTCAATTCTTATTCATTGTGATATATTTATCGATACACTTTATTTCAGCTTACATACATCCTTCTCTCACAACTTTATTGTAGCATATACATTATTATCAACTACAAAATGACAAATTATGTAACTTATACATATCTTTCAAGGCAAACAATAAAAGACTTATCAATTTAGACGAGATACATAAATAGTAATGTATCATGCACTAATTTTTTTCAGATATGATACATATTTACGAATTTATACTAAATGCATCAACTATAGCAACTACCACACAATAATGTATCGATCTCGATTCTAACATCTTATGGGCAATAATTAGTTATTTAATGTATCTAGTATAAATACAATATTTAACAATAAACAAAATATATAAATAGTAAAATGCTAAGTAGCAAAGGCATTCATGATGTACCTTCTCAATTTTTTCGATAAATTTAGATCAAAATTGAAAGGATTTTTCAATAAACTAGGGTAAGAATTTTGAAATTCAAAAATTTCAACAATTTTTAATTAAAATTGAAGGGATCTTGTTGAACTAGGAGAAGAAAGAATCTTAAATCTTAGATTTTTTGATAATCTTGAATTAAAATTGAAAGGATCTTCGATGAACTTGAAGATACAAAAGGATATTATTTAACCAACAACAAGTTCATCACTTTTGTATCCTTCATAACTAACCTCGCTTACCCAAAATTTCGATGAATTTTTTCGAACCAAGTCTGAAAGGTTTCTTCTATGAACGGGAACAATTTTAAATTTTGAATTTCTTCGTTGTATTAGGATTTGCCTATATATGATTAAGAGTAAGAAGAAACATAAGCATAATTTATGGATTTAATTAATTTTTAGATTTCATTCCCTTTTAAGCGCAATATAAAAACTTTTCTTGTATTAGAAATTAATGTATCTAGATGGTAATTTATGTATCCGGAAGGTACAAATTTTAAGAGATTATTGTAATTGGAAAAAAAAATAGGGATATAATGTAGTTTACTCTTTACACTATGTGATTTAGGTAAGTTGTACAAAAATTCAAGTGATATGCTTGAGAATATGATAAAATTAATGACTTAAATTAATTAAAATTTAACATTTTTTTTTATTCTTACACCTACAACCCCTTTTTTTTTATTCTTACACCTACAACCCCTCTCCCCAACTCCCGCGCCACCCCGCACTGGCTACCTCTGTCAATTTTTTAAAAAAAATTAAAATTATTTTTAAAAAGTATTTTAATTTTTTTGAAGAATCATTTTTTATACTAAAATGTAAAATTATTTTTGAAAAAAGTTTTCCTAGGTCGAAAAATTGGGTCAGATTCCAAGTCAAATTTCTGGGTCGAATTTTGGAATGATGTTCGAGCTTTTATCCTAGTTTGAATATCGCGGTCGGGTTTTAAGTCAATAAGCGGGATCGATTTTTGAATCACAAATAAATTCATTTTTCATTAATTTAATAGAGAAAGATTGAAAATTTATTTTCTATAGGTCAATTGTGAAACATGCAAGAACTTGTATTATTTTTTATTGAACCATTTTTATTTTCAATCTTTAATATTTTAGTAGCTTTAAAAAAATTATATGAACAAATAATGCTCTTATCATTCTTATAATATGTAAAAAATTAAAATTAAATCTAAACCCACATACAATCACATATAACCACCCGACCTCACATTAATTTTATAAAACCCACTTCAATCCACCCATACTCCTACCCTGCACAACCTTAAACCCGCCCACCCCACATCCATTGACATCTCTAAATGAAAGATCTTCATTCGACTGGTTTTGTAAAATGTAAAATCTTCAATTACTATATCCAACTTCTCTTTTCAAACAGATAACCTAATCCCATTTACTATTTTACTATTAATTTATTAATAAATACCCTACTTGCCGACATACCTTTTTTAGAAACAATAGAGCACATGTAGAAACAAGAAGTTCCAATAACATGGTTCCAAAAAGAGGCAGCAACAAAGAAGGATCTTCAAAGTGCAGGAGGAAAACTTGAATTTGATGAAGAATTGAGAATTGCTTTACATTTTAGAATAGGATTTACTTTCCTTTTTTCCTTTTCTTAGATAGATGCACTTTCCCTTTTTCTTGTTTCCAGACATCACTTCAGTTAATACAAATAGCCCTATGGGGACTTGTCTTTAAAAAAAAAATCTCTTTTAGGCTTTCTGTAGGCCATCACCTCACACAACAATAACCTATAAGGAAAAAAATTTAAGAAAATATAAAAAATAACACCATGCACCATTTCTGATACGAGCAAGTTAACAGCCAAGGGGTCTAGCACCTAAAATGCTAATGTCCAAGGGATGGGGGGCCATTACGTTGTCAATCTTCACTCTAAAAAATAAAATGGTACTGTCTATGGCACATCTAGTTGATTTAAGCATAGTACTTTAAGCTGGCTTTCTTCTTCGCCTGAACCTGAATAATGCCTTCATTGAAATCTTCATGGGTAACCTGCAAAATATTACATAAAATTGACACTTACATCATGCAAATTGTAAAAAGTTGGAAACAATGCGTTTTATCCATTGTTGATTAGCTTGACCAACAACTATCAAACCCCATTGGTTGAAAACCTTTCAACATCAAGGGCATGCTTCATTTGGACTGGTGTCTGAATTAAATTACCACTTGAAGGTCCTAACTAGTTCGTCATAAACTAAAAAATTACAAGTGAACTACATGATTATACAACTTATGGGAAGAAGAATCTGACATTTGACAAAAAAAAATCTCTTTTAGACAAACACAGCCCTTACAAACGTTTTTCAACTTTTCACACAACGTTCACAGGTAGTAGAATAAGCAGATCACATTTCACGAACAAATGTGTATGATACTTCTCAGTAGATATTTGCCATGTTCAAGTTATTCAGATTCTTAATTTATGGCATGTTTAATTAATTCAAACATCTTCAGTTTTTCAGGCCAACTAACATGATGATCATATGCAAGAAACATGGCAGCTAATGGTTGTTTCTGTTTTTTTTTTGTTTTCATAGATCTGTCTTGTCCTGAATTAAATTAGAGAAGCTACACCACACAGATCAAATATCATAGCCAAAATATCATCCCCAACAGTGTGTTAATGTACACATGGAGCAGCCACAAATGCTAGAGAAAGCAAGGAGAAAGGCAGACCTCAGTGGCATCACGTCGGAGTGCTAACATGCCTGCCTCAACACATAAAGCTTTTAATTGATCCCCGTTAAAATCATCTGTAGATCGAGCTAACTCCTCAAAGTTGACATCAGGGTGAACATTCATCTTTCTAGAGTGAATCTGCAATGTCAGTAAAGAGCCAAACATTAAACCAAAATCACTGAAGATCTTATTTCCTTTATTCATGAAAAGAGGCAGCATTTATAGACCACTTGTTGTTCTTTCTTTATTAAGCCAGCAAGGGTAATAGAATTGAAGTCAAAAAAGTTTAGAGAAAGACCTACCTGCAAGATTCGAGCCCTAGCTTCCTCTGTAGGATGGGGGAACTCAATCTTACGATCTAATCGACCAGATCGCATCAAAGCAGGATCCAAAATATCAGCTCGGTTTGTTGCTGCATTCACCTGAAGTAAAGGAAAGAGACCAATACAGTTCACTCAAATTGTAGAGAACCAGAATAGTTAAAATCACTTTCACTAGTAAAGTTACCAAATCAACCGATTTGCAGCTAAACTTTACAACCCCAATAACAAATACCATAAAAATTGGGAAGGGGAAATTGCTCTCAGTGTCCAAACTAGTTTAAAGTGGGCAGAAGTATAAAGATATGGTTAGGCAGGAGAAAAAACCTTTATCCGATCATCACTGCTGAAACCATCAAGCTGATTAAGTAACTCCAACATAGTTCTTTGGACCACTCGATCACCACTAACTTCACTGGGATCAAACAACATAAAGTGACGATCTGTCAGTACACATCTTATAAGGAGGTTGAGTGAAACTTCTTTTATCAAGCACAAAGTTTTCATTTTCTCGGTCATAACATATATTAAGCGTCTGCATACTATTTTCTTTTTTTTGTGTGTAAGATTCAAACATTTTCAAGTGAGAAGAACATCAGCAAGAGCACATCTAATATGAGGTTTAGAGTGAAATTCCACTAGTAAAAAAAGTGATTCTTTTTTCAGTCATAACATAAAGAAAGAGTCGGCATATTATATGTATGTGAGAAAGATTCAAACATTTGTAAGTGAAGAACATCAGCAACATGGTTAGCTATCAAATCGCTTTGTGCCTATAGCATCAATCTCATCAATAAAAATGCTGCACGGTGATTTCTCCTTTGCCAGCTGGAAAGCATCACGAACAAGTTTCGCCCCATCTCCGATGAACATCTATATTTAGTACAAGGTTCCTTTGATAAGCAGTAGAGATGAGAGAGCTGTTTTATGCACTAATTGGGTAGCTAACGTCAGAATGCAAAACAATTAAATCATAAACTTCAAAATGCAAATTATATGTCATGATATGTAGTTCTCTTTCAGAAACTATTTGCTCTAGTCAATCAATTTATGGAAAATTAGCTCGACACATCCAATATGGATAGCTAGTTATGCCTATTCCATGTTGCGAAAGTCTTCACGTATAATGTTAATGATGAATCTCACTGGCAACAAGATAAAGAGTGTTTCCACTCCGGATATATGGATAACTAGGAGATGGTTGCTTGACACCCAAATCATGCCCTGGACATAAACCAGAGACCAATATAAAAGTCAAATGCATGAGAGTGAACTCTCGTCCTTGTGTATTTAGGGATCGTTTGGTTTGAATATTAGTAATAATGGGAATTGGAATAAGTTATGTTGGGCTTATTTATGATGGGAAAATTATGCTGAAATTATTTCTTATTGAGTGTTCAATTTGTTGTATTCAAAATGATATACATTACATAAATTTTAAAAACAAGTTGTTTGTTTACAAAATTACCCTTCACTTTGTTTAATTTTTTATATTTTCTTTGCAAGCTTTAGTTGTCCATTTTGAAAAAAAAAACTTCAATTTTATTTAGCTTAAATATTTTTGTTTATGCATTCCCATGATAAGAACCATATGTATCTAAAAACAATTCTTTTTTCTTATTTCGCTTAAAATAGAACTTCCCTCTTATGTTTGTTAAAGAGAATAAATATTTATGAGAAATCAAAACATAAATAAACATAAAAATTAGTCAAATAAATTCATGAATTAAAATTATATTTATATACTGTAATTTTTTGATAGAAAAATATGAATAATTATCATAAAAATTAGGAATAATGAATATTATTATACATGGTATTAAAAATAATGTAAATATACATAAATATGAAAAATGATGTATAAAAAGGATTTAAAGGGATATATTTGTCATTTTGTATATTTTATCGTGGGATAAGTTATCCCGGAATTACTATACCACCCAATAGAAGGAATGACTTATCCTCGTAGTAATACTTAATCCTGGGTAAGTTATCCCAAGCTTTGCAACTAAGTAAGGAAATAAAGGATACTTACAATTTATCCTGCAATTAACTCCTTTATCCATCACACCAAACAACCCTTTACAGATACACAGGTTGCTTGATTTACTTTTGCTCCTAATCCCATAGATTACCATCCAAGTAAAATGCATAGTTCTTGTTCCACCACCTAAGTAGTTGTCTTACACTACTAGCATGTTGCCTAATGACCTAGACATATTCTAAGGTGGCACTTGTTTTCAAGTTCGCAAACTAACTTCCTGAGTTTCGAGGTAAGTGTTTGTTTGAGTTGTTTGCAAAGTAACATCTTTTTCTAACACTTTGTTTGGATCAGTGTTATGCATTGTTTCATAATGTATTGTATTGTATTGTACTGTACTATATTGTACTGTATTGTATGGTAGGTACAATGTTTGGCTAGATTGTATTGTTTGTTGTTATTTAATAACATTTTAATTATTTTGTTTGATTGTATCGTACTGTATTGCAATTTATAAATTTACTTAAATATCCTTAATTATTCTAAGTAGGAGGTTGACTAGATTTAAATAATTAAGGTAAAGGATAAAATATTATTTTGAAATATTATGTAAATATATAATTGAAAAAAGAAATTAAGAAACAATAGGAACACACCAAATTGGTTGTTCCATAAAATAGGAGTTTTCATTGTTACGTAACAACGAAATTTAACAATACAGTTTAAATAACAATCAAAACAAACATTGTAAATATAGTAACAATACAGTACAATACAATAGATAACAATGATTCAAACATAGTGTAAGTTCTAAAATTCAAAATTCAAATCCCTTAAGATCTCCAAAAAAAAAATAGATATATCAATTGAAAAGGGTTTAATAGGGATTCATGCAAGTGGAATGGTGGACTAAATGCAAGTGAATCGAACACATCAAGCTTTTGACAAGATCATCAGTAAGTTCGACATGAGAACCATCTAGGATCCTACTATATATAATAGTGTTAACAGGCATTCTAGACCAACTATTTGTCTCATTTGCAAGGAAAGAAGAAAACACGGATACATTACTTATAAAATATTAAATATAACAAAAGGGGATAAGAGGTACATGAACAACTTGCACATGCAGAGTATCTCCAGTTAGTTGACACAATTAATCACAACAAACAAACACCGAAAGTAGAAGAAATTCACCTGCACAAGCTGTGGCCCTGCTAGCCTAAGAGAAGTGGCATTTGTCTGTGCAGCACAAGCTCGGGCCATGAGATTTTTCCCAGTCCCAGGAGGCCCATACAAAAGGACTCCTTTTGGAGAACGAACGCCTAATTTCTGGAACCGTTCTTTGTGCGTCATAGGCAAAACAATTGCCTCTACGAGTTCTTGAATCTGTTTCTCCAGGCCTCCAATATCATTGTCGTCTTCAGTTCGTTTTTCATGAACTTCCATTGCCTTCACCCGTGAATCATATTCAGATGGCAAAGTGTCTAATATCAGATAACTATCTTTGTTTACTCCGACCAGATCACTAGGCTTTAAATTGTCCGGGTCAACAAGGCCAACAACAGGCAGAAAAATTGTCTACAATCGGCAAGAAGAAAGGAGGACTTCAATTAGCAGAATAACTTTGCTGAAATGAAATGACTTTCGTGGAGCACAAGGACTCAGTTATGAAGTTCAACAATAAAAAGGATATAAATGCCAAAGAGGCTTTGGGAGGATAAATTAAAAGAACACTAATTAGAAGACAAAAGTTTCGCCAGTTACAAATCACAAATATAGTAACATAGCATTATGGGTAACAACTTACCTGGCGCGTGGATGTTTTCAGAACTACATATTTGCCCTTCCTTTGTGAGTCGAGATCAATATTTGCACCATCCTCCTCATCCTCTTTCTCTGGATTCATTTCCAAAATCTGAAAAGATAAGGATCAAGTTAGTGCCTCAAAGTTAACTTCCTTATACCCTCTTTGCATAAACCCCCTTCCTGAACAGAAGTAAAAAACAAAACAAAATATAAAGAAAAAGAGAAAGGATTCATAGACCTGTTTGAATGGGCTTATAGCTTATGGTTTATAAGCCAAAAGTCATAAATTATAATTGATTTCTAACTTATGGTTTTTGGCTTGCTATAGTCATACGTCGGGATTGATTTCTAATTTATAGCGTTTGACTTACTTTAGACATAAGTTGGGATTGATTTCTAACTTATAGTTTTTGGTTTACTTTTTGTTATTTTGGCTTAAAACAAGTGCTTAAAAACACTTTTAAATTTTACCCAAACACTACAAAAATGCTTAAAAGCACCTAAAATAAGTTTATCCAAACATGTTTATAATACTATGTACAAACATATTGTCTTCCCCAAGGTCTTATAGGCAATTTGATTTCTAAAATCACATGAACAAAAATGTCAAAATATGCCATAAACATATACCCTTAATAAATCGAAAAGATCACTTTCAATTTTCAATAAGCAGGAATAGTAGACATTGCAAGGAAAACCTCTTTATATATTGTAAAAGGGAAAATGCACAAGTACCCCCTCAACCTATGTATGAAATTCCAGAGTCACATTTATACTATAATAAGGTCCTATACCCCCTGAACTTATTTTATAAGTAATTTTCTACCCCTTTTGGGCCTAAGTGACATTAATTTGAAATAAAATCAATCAGCATTAGACCCACAAAATAGTGCCACGTAGGCCAAAAGGGGTAGAAAAATATTAATAAAATAAGTTCAGGGAGTAACACGACCTTAGTATAGTATAAGTGTCTCTGAGATTTCGGGCATAGGTTGAGGGAGTACTTGTGCATTATCCCATTGTAAAACAAACAATTTATCATCAACTCTCTCCTCTCTCTGCTAGCACCAATTAGTGTTTTTCTAGTTCTGATAAAAGTAAATATAATATAATTTAACTTTTACAAACAAAAATTAATTGTACTAATAAAACATATTTTCATGATCCTTTTAACACATTATTTCACAAAAAGCATGCAAGAAACATTCAATATTAATTATGATAAAACTCAATTAAATTAGTATATAATATAAACAAACAATAAAAACAGAAAATAAAAGATAATTAAAAGAGTAAAGAAAATGGTACAGTAAAAATTTGGAACTCTGATAATCTTAAATGTTAGCAGAACTTTTTTTCTTAGTCTAAGGCTTTTTCCTATCATGAATTGTTGACATTTATGCTTTCATAAAATATAATAATAACATATATTTTGCTTCTCATAATTATTTATTGAAAAAATGGATATGGAAATAAATAATAATAAATAAATAATTTTTTTAAAAAAAGATATGAAAAGATCAACAAACTTCACCATGCCACAAAAAATTTCTTCTCAGAGCATTTATTCTTTCTTCCTCGGTTCCACCTTTGCAGGAAGGTGAAAAACATACATTAAGTTGGTAGTGCATCCAAGAAAGGGTTGATCAACAATGATCTACCACCTCTTGATAAATATTTGAGGATTCCACCTAGACAATCTTTTCTCACATCTTTCCACTACATTCCAGATCTCTTTGAATTGGCTTTTGACACCCAAAAGCATACCCAAGTATGTTGAGGGTAATTGTCCTATTTCTCCACCCAAAACATCCAAGCGATGTTGTATTTTGGGCACAACATTGATTGGAAAGATGTGACTCTTTCTCTAACTAAAGTGCAACCCTGATACCAACTCAAAAAGTATGAGGATTATCCTCAAAAGCTTTAGTTGGTTGTCTTCTGCATCACAAAAAATCAAAGTCATCTACATATTGCTTATTGAATATGGGTGATTTACAATTTAGTATTCACTTCTTTGTCCACATTAAAGCCCCTTACATCATTTTCATGAGTTGTTTAAATCATACTATGCCTTCAATGATTAGTAAATATAGAAAGGTGAGACTTGAGAGTGGCTTGTCTCAAGCCTCTAATTTCTGGAAAGAAACCTTTAAGAGAACCATTTATGAGTATTGAGAACCTGACAGAGTGCTAATGTAGAACCTCATCCATCTAACACACTTCCTCTAAAAACCCATACTACGTAAAATTTCAAGCAAATACTCCTAACTAACATGATCATATGCCTTCTCTATGTCCAATTTACACATTATGCCTGGGGTTTTATTCTTCAATCATGAGTCTCGACATTCGTTTGCAATGAGAGCAACATCAGTAATCTGTCTTCCTTTTAGAAAGACCATTTGTTGAGTGTTTACCAACTTTGGCATCACCTTTTTTAGCCTCTCTGTAAGAATTTCGGTAATCAGCTTGTAGCCACTTCCAATCAAACTAATCAGTCTGAAATCTCTCTATTTTCTTGGCTCCATGATTCTCGGGGATGAGTGCAATGTAAGTTGTATTGAGGCTCTTTTCAAAATCTTCCCGATAATGGAAGTTCTAAATAGTACCCATCACATCCCCCCATTAAAATTTCCAACACTAAATGAAAAAACTCCTAGGCCTCATTTGTTTGCACTTAAATCTAAATGGTTAGACATTAGGTCATTAAGTGCTTTTTTTTTCTACCTGAAGATCTCTTAATGGGTCTGAAAGAGTCTGAATGAACTTGTTGTCCTTTAGACTCTTTTAAAGACACTTTCATTTTTGAGAAAATATTGTGCTCCATATTGTTTTCTTCAAAAATAATTCAAGGATCTCTCATTCTCCAACTTTATTAGTTATCCAATTATTTCCCTTAAACTTTTTATTTTTGTCCTTGTTGCTTGTTTATCAAGAATTAATAGAAGTTATTTGATTACAGATGCAAAGCAACTTCATAAATATATTTGTTGAAATCAAAACCTTTATAAATTTGTTTAAAATCATTTGAATGTATCATGTTCATTATTTATTTTAGAGAAGAGTACATGATAAACACATTATAGAAAATAAAGATGCTTCACTGATTTATTTCAGATTAGTTTGTTTTGAATTATTTATTTTGATAAAAGATGACTAAATTTTTTACTAACAATTATTCTATTATTATAGTTTATATATGTAGTCCAAGCAGTTCCATTTATTTTTATCAAACATAAAATATTTATTTATAATTCAAATATCTTAACGTTTATAAAAAAATGACATTTTTTCTAATATTTTGTTAATGTAATATTTAACTACTATTTTGTTTGAATTATACTCCATCCGACCCAATTAACGTGACACTTTTTTAATTATTGTAATACATATACATATACATATATATACATACATACATACATACATACATACATATATATATATATATATATATATATATATATATATATATATATATATATATTTCTTCTTCAAAAGGCTTCTATAAATCTTGTTGCTCCTCCCTGTTGATCACTGCATAGGTATTCATGTTGTAAGCAGGACTACAATTTTCAGTCTCGTGTTACTTCTTATTAAATAAAAAAACCATCTGCCTCTTGATATTTGTGTTTTTGTTAATTCATTACCTACCACCATCGATATATCAATGTGATTGGCTCTCTAGTTAACATTTCCAACCCTTCGGAAGAATATACTGTTCTTATCCCCTTGCTTAATCCACAATGTCCTTGATCTTTGCCTCTAAGCTATCGTTTCCTATCTAGCATAGTCTTCAAACTCTTTAGTAAGACTTGCCATTTCAATTTCATCATCTGACAAAGGTTTGTCCTAGCGAGCATTGTCAAATATAGTAATTTTGTTAAGCAACTCCTTTCAACTTTCCTGATTTCTTTGTGCTTGGGCTCCATTCTTTTTTTTATTGAGAAAGGTTACTTTTTAGTCGGTATATCCACAGATGTACTACATCAAAGTGTAGTCCCCCTTCTAAAAGTATTACAACCTAGGAGACCTATTTGTACTTTTTGTTGCAAATAGGCTTAAACATCAAAAAAATTGTCAGTTTGTCCTAACACTTTCTGTTTGCACCAAAAATTGTAAAAAACCAGACAGTTCGTCTTAAAATTTTGCATATTACTTTGTTTTCCTTCAAAGCATCTTTGACTCTTTCCTTCCACACTGTCCATCATAGACAAACTGGTAAAATCTTCCATATCTCCTCCTTTGTTGTAGCATTGCCAACTCTTACGTAGCACTTCAATACCCCTTCAATGTTCCTTGGTTTCACTCAAGTGATTTTCCTTATACAAATGAATATTCTTCAAAGTTGGTTTGGCCATTTACAGTGTAAAAAGGACGGTTGCCTGTCTCTATTTGTTCTTCACATAGGTAGCACCTGGAACACAATTGGTATTTCCACTTCTTCATGCTTTCCTCTATCAGTACTACTTCTTTGGTCAGCAGCCATGTGAAACGACCGACCTTATATGGAATTTTTGTCCCTCATATCATCTTCCAAAGGCCACTGTTCGATCCCACTGTTTGAAGTGGTGAGATTCTTGTATGCTGAGTTCATAGAGAAAAATCCTTGTTACCTATCTTCCATCTTGCAGTATCTTATTCCTTAGTGAAGTTGTTGAGGGGCCAAGGTGTTATAGAGAGCAACAATCTTTTCCACCTCCCTGTAATTAAGATTTCTTCTATGATGAAGGTTTCATCCCTAACCTGTCCACATTTTAGCAACAGTTGCTTGTTGTTGAAAGCTTAGTAGGTGTAGATCATGGAATAATTGCTTTAATGTTCTCTGAGCTATCCACTTCTCCTCCCAAAAAGCCACTTTGACTCCACTCCCCACTTCTAAATTTATTTTGGAAAACAATTGTGTCCATAAGTTCCTAACTAATCTCCAAATACTATAACTAGTGGTGGCAAATGGGAGGGTTGCGTCAAATTTGGGCGGGTTAAAAATGACTCAACATAAATTGGGTAATAATTCTACCCACCTATGATATGGGTAAAAATGGATTGGATAACAGATGAATTGGATAAAATGCTAGTTTACTCATATTTTACCCATATATCTCTACTAAAGAATTCAACATGGAGAAATATTTTAGTCTTTTTCTAGATAAAAAATGTTGAAAATGCTTCATTTAGTTTTATTGTATCATAAAAGTAAAAAAAATCCTAACTTTTCAATATAAAATAAATTTATGTAATAACAAGGGAAAAATATTTTTAATATCAAAGTAAATGAATAGTTGCATTTTAGGACTAAAACATGATTAATGCACTTTAAATATTAAGCAATGTCAATACTAATACATGATTTGCTTATTTTACACTATTATTTATTATCCAATATAAAATTAAACAAATATAAAAATTTAATTATATTTAACAAAAGAAATGTACATTTAAACGCCAATGACTTCACGTTTTCAATTACAGAGAAAAATAATTAGTTCACTAGAGGAACATAAAAAGGAAGAGAAGTTAAATTTTTTTAGTGATATCCTGAATTCTGAGGGAATAAAAGTTAGAAGCTTAACTCATTTGGCTAATTCATATTTTACCTATAGTTTATCCACCTATATTTTTATGGGTTGAATGTGGGTATCAAACCATATTTTACCCATGTATAAAGTCACTCACCCAACCCATTAAGATATGGACTCATTTTCTTGGCACTAACTACAACTAGAAGGAATGGTCATTGCTTTTGTAATCCATTTATCCTCCATTTCATACTTTGCACAAATAATCTCCTCCACAGTATGTTCTCTCATGTAATAAATTTCCATAACCACTTCATCATTAGGGTTTTGTTTTGCATTTTCATATTCTTGATCCCCGCTCTCCCCTTCCTTCTTGCTAATTATGGCCTCTTCCTATTTAACCAGATCAAATTATCTAGTCTTTTTTTCTTTTTTGAAAAAAATTCCTTCTTAGCACGTCTATTCTCTGGATCACCTTGTTACGGGCAGGGGTTGGGAATACTGACATCATGTATGTAGGCATTGTATCCAGAACACTATTGACTATGGTCAATCTACACCAGAGAAAGGTACTGACTCCTCCAATCGGTCAACTTTTCTTCACAGTTTTCTATCAACCCATTCCAAATCCTCGTTGATTTACTTTTGGCTCCCAAAGACATTCCTAGGTATATGGTAGGTAATTCCCCTACTCTTCCACCCATAATAGTTGCCAAATTATCCAGCTCTCTCACATCATTAATGGGGTATATGTATCTCTTCTCTTAATTGATATTTACCCCAGAAACAACTTCCAAACTAATGAAAATCACCCTTAGTATCAGCATCTGGCTCCACAAAAAAACTAGAGTGTCATCTGCATATTATAGATAAGTTATCCAGGTTGCTTATAACTCTATTGTCCACCTAAAATCCCCTGATCCACTCTTTTTCCCTAGATGTATGTACCAAGTTACTTAGACCTTCAATTGCTAGGATGAATAGGAAAGGGGATAAAGGATCACCCTGTCTCAATCTCCTTTGAGAAGAGAAAAATCCACCGGGGTCTTATTATGTTGACTGAGAACTTCTTTGTGCTAATGCAGTGTTTCACCCATCTTATCCACTTAGCTCCAAAGCCCATTCTTTGCATTATTAGTATCAAAAAGTTCCAATTCAAGTGATCATAGGCCTTCTGGATGTCAAGTTTGCACAAGATTCCAGGTTGTTTGCTTCTTCTTCTAGACTCCACACACTCATTTGCTAGAAATATTGCATCCATAATTTTGCCTTCTTTCTATGAAGGCCATTTATTGTCTGTCCACAATAATGTGGATGACCTTTTTCAATCTTTCTACCAAGAGTTTGGCTATAATCTTGTATACTCCTATTAAGCTTATAGGTCTGAAATCAATTAGCTCCATGGCATCCACTTCTTTTGAAATTAGTGCAACAAATGTAGCATTATGCTTCTTTCAAAAATTTCTTCCTTCTGAAAATTTTGAACTGCAGCCACTAAATCAGATTTGATAGTGTGTCAACACAGACTGAAAAAATACAGCAACCATCTAGCCCTGGTGCTTTGTCACCTGCATAAGATTTGATACCCCTCCAGTCTTCTGTTTCTAGATAAAGCTTTTTATAAAATGTAACCGTCTCCTCTTGTACCTCTTCACGATTGCCCAATATTTCTCCTCTCAATTTCAGCATTTTAATTGTGTTCATTCTTCTATGAGCATTTGCAGTTCTGTAGAAGAAACTAGTGTTTTTTTGCTTAACCACGTAGCCCTGGACCTCCTGAATCTGTTCTAATTCAGTTAATTATCCCAAAATATTGCTACTGAGCCCCTATGGTCCCATGAGTAGTCTTAGTGTCTTACTGTTCAAAAACTATTTGCAGAGCGAAAGCATACCATAATTATATAACATACATGAATAATAAAACACATGGCTTATGCTAGAACATAAACATTCTGAAATATAATTCAAGAATTACCTCTTGAAGTGTGAGCACATACATTCAAGCGAATCCACAAGCTAGTCCACAAACTGAATGGCTGTTCTCTGGTCTTCTACAGTAATACCAAGTTCACTTCCGAACTCTCAATACTGGGTGGGCAAGTATCGTAGATAAAGCCTACCTCCTTTCAAGAGTTAGACGACCTCTATTTATAGAGATTTCTTCCTAGTTCAAGGAGGAGAGGGACACCATGAATTTCCATAGAAAAAGTCATATTACTTCTCCCTTTCAATAGAATAGAGAAAGACACATACTTCTCCCTTTCCTTAAAATAGAGAAAGAAGCATAAGTCTCCCTTTTCCCCTTTAGAATTGGTATTGAGTTCTAGTTAAATATGGGCACGATAGAGAATTAATTATTGAGGATTTCTATTGTGGAAATAATATTTATTTTGAATTATTCTTACCAAAGTAAATTACAAATCATTCCACTTTAAATTCGTAATTGCAGTCCTCTATTTATATTTCAAAATTCCCCATAAAACACACGTGTTATTCTCATGTTAAGATTAGCGATACTAATCAACAAATTGAAGTACTAACGAATTTAATTCAATGATCAATTTCCTTTAGAGCACTACTTAACTTATTTCATGTGCCGAATCATAAATCTATGTGCAAGGTTTGACATGATGAAAACTCATAAGCTTCTAAAAAAGACATATCATCAATATGTATATCAGACATGAATTCCGCAAACTAACTTATTATTATTTCACCAATATATATTATCACCATGCAATCTACCAGGTTTATAATCCATCTTAGAATCTCACCTTTAAAAAATCAAAACGATAATTAATATATATAGATCATAACAGTTATATCAGGATTAAGAAAATGAATACATCTAATAGTTTAGAGAATATGCTTTTGTTAGTTAGTCTAAAGCTACTCTCTCTACTCAGTCGAGTTCAATGCATACAAAATGCACTAACACAAGAAGTTGGAACTATATCATTCCTATAATCAAGATAAACTTCATATAATCTTGTGCTACAATCGTACCAATGGCATTCCATTTCCCATCTTAGATTGTGAACAAAAAAATTTATACTTGTAAGAGTCGATGATTTAATCCTCCATGTATAACCTAAAACTTTATTCACTAAATCATTTATTATATAAGTAAACAACATAAACGAATCTATGATCAATCAAAATTGAAGAAAAAATATTCTATAATAAATAATATATGTTTACATGTCATATGGTGGTGAATTGTTAATATAAATGCAATTTAATCCTCCCTTCATTTTCCTTCTATCCTCGCTTCTATAAACGTAGTTTCATTTTCCAAATTCGATTTATTTTTACTAATTTCAATTTGTGTGCTGATAACATTAATCATCATTTGTCTGCATGTGTACAAACAGAAAGGGATCATGTGGCAACGTATAACACAAAAATGAAATATGTAGCAACATTATACTACATATACAACATGTGTTACCCAACAAAAAGTATGACAACATATGTCACAATTTGAATTATCATAATTTTTAAAAAAAAATTAAACTGCTTTAATTTTCATTTTCATTTTCCGTCTCTCCTCTCCTCTCTCTCCTCTCTTCTCTCTTCTATAAAACTCGTTCATAATCCAAATTTCATTTATTTTTACTAGTTTATTTCATTTTTCTTTTCTATTGTGCTCTCCAATATTCCTTCCTTCATATATCATTGTTCAGTTAATATTTTCTAAAAGTGGTTGTTTCGAGTTGCGATCATCTTCTAAAGCAAGGCGTTGTTGTTCTCATAATTTCTAGTGTATCGTTGATATATCTTCTCATGTAATATTTAATTAGGGTTTTAAATTCATGTGGTTGTAGCTCATCTTATTGCCTGTTTTGACTTGTTTTCTCACTTTTATGGTTGTAGATCATGTGTGACTTTCAATTATTTCATTTTTGTGGTTGCAGATATATAATGTCTCCTGTCAAAAGAAAACTTGATATTGATACATCTGACATAACAAAAGTCCAGAAGAAGGCTAGGTCTAAATTGCTAGGAAGAGTAACGGAGCAGTTTCTTCTTCTCAAGCAGAAGTAGAATTTTGTCAAAAATAATATGAAAAAAGAGAAGTGGTGGAGGAAGAAGATGAAAAACAAGAAAGAGTTGAGGAAGAAGAAGGGAAAATAAATTAAATTGAGGAAGGACAAGGGAAAATAAATGAAGTTGAGGAAGGACAATGGGAAAATATATAAGTAGTAGTTGTGGCACAAGAAGAAAACATAAATGAAGTTCATGAAGAAGAACAAGACCTTCATGAAGAGTTAAATGCCAGTGGTGATGATGAGATTAAAATCATCATTGCAGACACTTTCCCTGTGCCTCTGCAGCCTAATGCTAATGGTGACAACATTATTATGTCAGTCTTGGGAAAACCTTTCGTCAAATTCAGGGATATCCTCAAGAGAAATCAATTGGAAGATTTTTTCATAAATAGTTGTTACGGTCATTTTCTTGATTTACCCATTGATATAATTCCACGTTTTCAAATCACCATTGTGTATGAACTTCTGAAAAGAAGGGTCATTTTTAAAAATCCCAATAAAAAGGATGAGATTGTAACTAATTATTGTGGCATGCCAGTTTTCTTTGGCATAAGAGAGTTTGCCATAGTTACATGGCTAAAATGTTATCCTCCTCTGGTGCCCATCCCTGAATACATTGTTAAAAAAAACCACGAAGAAGACAGAAAGGAGTAGCAAAAGCAGGACAACAGTCACTGCGGAGCAGGACTTGATGTCCCTTGTTGGCAAAAACTTTGAAAATTCTGACTTACTAAATTTGTTGGAACGAGTCGATACACCAAGGAAGCACAAGGACTCATTGTGCTTACTTTGGTTTACACATAATATACTTTTTCCGAAGGATCCATACAACAACATAATATTTAAATATATCAATTTGTGTCAGGATATTGAGACTTTCAACAACTACCCTTGGAGTCATGAGAGCTTTCATGTAACTCTTGACTACTTATTGAAGCCTTTAGGAGAAAAGACCAGTAACTTGTTTGAGTTTTCATGGACTTTCATAGTAAAACTGAATGTTCTTAATATTTTTATATTATATTAAGTAATAATTCAACATTTGATTATTGACATGTTTTTCTTTTTTTACAGGCCTGGGCATTTGAAGTCATTCTTTATTTGACCTATCAAGTAATTGCTGAAGAACAGAAATTATCTCCAAGGATGTTGAGATGGTTAATAGCAAGAACAAAAAACACCAAAGATGGGCATATTCCAGATCTCTTTAACCCTCCTTTTGATGCAATAAGTTATTATTAGTATATTACATGCATATGTTGCTATAGATGAATCTTATATTGCTACAGATGATTCATCTGTCTCAACATCTGACACAAGTATTACCACAAATGATTCGTCTATTGCAACATGTATCACAAATGTTTCTACGGATGATTCATCTATTGCGATATGTTACACAAATGTTGCTACAGATGCCCATATCTGTCAACCTATCATACATCTGTAGCAACATATGACACATATGTGGCAACATATCACGCATCTGTATCAATAAATGACATTTTTGTGGAACCATATGACCCAAATATTCTTACTGATGACTCAGTTTTATAATTGTAGGTTGTGCATCCATGGATTACCCCAACAGAAGAGGAATTGCAAATTTCATATCTAATTACTCTAGGGTTGGTTGAAACCATTTCTGATCCTGTTGTGGATAGAATTAAAATAGTGTTGGCTGGAGCAACAACAATCAAAAGAGATAGAGTTGTTAATGAAATCGTTAATGAATTAGTTGTTTATGATGGTGTTGGTGCTGGATATGGTGCTACTGCTGGTGCTGGTGTAGGACAACATAAAGGGGCTACCTCTTGTATAAGATGTCGTGGCTTTCTCTATGAGAAGTGCAAGAAACATGATGAAGATTCTATCATGTTTCTTCAAACATTGAGTCAAGTTGTCAATGAATTCAAAAACAAGAGGGGGGGGGGGTGAAGGAGTACAAAAAGAATGTTCGGCATCCATATACTCCATAAGGAAAGAGGAGGAAAGAATCATTTGCCAAGGCAATACAAAATTTGAAGAAGAAGATGTTTGGAGAAATTCCAAGGGACCTAATGGAGGAAGTGAAGGAGTACAGAAAGTTGAATATTTACAAGCGTGTGACTGTAGCAAAAAAAACCAAAGTGTTGAGTGTGACGAGTTCAAAGGATATTCGAATAGAATATGACATGCATGTTTTAACCGAACAAAATTTCAGGAACATACAAGCACAAAATTTTGGTGGGAAGACTAGGTAAGTCTACATTTTATAATGCACGTTTCTTTTATCTTTTGATTGAATACTCTTCTTTACAATTTAATATTATTTTTTATTTCAATATATTTACGAAATCCTTAACCTCATGTGTTAGAGACATGTGACATACCCGGACTACTATGATCCCAGAGATAGAATCCTGGATCTCAACCTCTATACTAACTTCCAAAAAAGATATGAAGAAATGAGCGATGAGGCAACAACGGTTGGTGGTAGAAGCATTAAACATATAGTAGATGAATTTGCATTGGATGAAGATATGATTGACTATGTCAGGGGTATTAGGCCATATCTTGGAGGCATGGATTGGATTGATGCAAAAAGAATTTTAACAGTCATGAACACGGATAATATACATTTTGTGACTCTAGAGA